TCTGGAAGCTTTTTTTGCAAGGGTCCATCACAAGACCCCACACGAAGGGGGGGCCCCCTAGTCAACGATGCTGGAGGTCCTCCGAGTTCAGAGTCTCGAGGTCGAGCAGCATGGAGCATGAGTGCGAAGCCTCCTGGAAGGGTACCACGGGCCATGATGACTTGATGACCCATACTGCGAGGCTTACAAGCTCCTCTGCTGCAACGGCAGCCGCGAATGCCCGCGGCCTGAGATGCAAAGAGTAGAGCTTAGTTACCTAGTTTCTATGCCATGAACATGTACGCTTCAGGGCAGCAATGCTCAGACACATATCACGTTAAGCATGCGGCAGGTCTTGCAAGGAAACCCTGTCTGTCACATCACCAGCCTGCATGCAAGTTAACAGCCTTCTAAGAGCCTTAAGTGAGCTACTACAAGATGGGATCAAGACAAGCCTCGTTCGAGGTGAACCTCAGAAACATGCTACCATCACGTGCCTTTGCACATCAAAGCAGCGGCTTAGGCTTCAGCATGGTTGGCCGTCACGAAGCGGTCATGCTTCAGGATGCCACGTTCGGGATGTGGCACTTCTGTGGCCAGTTCATCTATTGTCTGTTTAGGCGATGCCGTCACTGCCTTCACTGGCTTGCGGTTTCAGCTTGTCTAAACTCTGGGGCTGTCCTAGCTGCATTGCTGTACATAGTGATGCTGCACATGGTAAGCCAGGTGAAGTTGCACCAAAAACACGAGGGTCTGCGTTTGTCCACTGTGTTCAATAATACCTCTTACACAGGAACTGCAAAACAGCAATGTGGCTTTTGCAACTGCTCACGATGCCAAGTCCAGAATGCAGCACTTGGCGAAAGGGTCGAGAACCGGGCAGCAGCTTGGGCCAGGATGCTCCCGGCCATCGAGTACTTATCGAGAACTTATCGAGTACTTATCGAGTACTTATCGAGTACTTCAAGGCAGCTCAGGCTCCCTGAAAGCATTTTCGGCACCTCACGGAGATCCTGCAGGCATTGGCAAGACCGCGGTGCTGCGGCGAGTTCGGATGTGAAACTGTCATTGTCACGGGACCCGCGTGTCTCTCGCAGGCTTGGGATGGAAGGCATGGAAGGCATGTCTTAACATGATGTGCTTCGAGCGCTACAAGCCTCAGCCATCCTGCACCAACTTTTGCCGAAGCATGTTCATTTGCTGCAACATCTGTTTTAGTCAAATTCAAACGGTTTTAAATACGACCATGCCCTCAGAGCGCTCAAATTTTGACAACGTCAACGCCTGCGCCAAGAAACTTCGCAGGCAGAACTGACTGGAAGCAGCCCCGGGCCTTGCTGATTCTGTGCATCCTCGGCCTTTGCCCCGAACATATACCGTCATATTCCGTCATATTCCGACCCCAAAACAAACGCGTTGCATGGCCAACATGGCGACGCAAAAACGGCCCAGGCCTGTGCGCTGGCTTTTGCCGGTTCCAAAGTGTAAGGTGGCCTCCCCTGCGTGGCTCAGATACTAACCCTCACCGTTGCAAAAGCTGCACACCAACTACTGACATCGATGCCTCTTCTGGTCGGCCTGCGCAAACGACAGCAAAAGTGAGTCAAACTACAACACAACCTCTGAACATGCCTATGCCGGCATCACCCAGCTCAGCTGCTTTTCTCCACGCATGCCGAACGGCGATCTGGCACAAACAACACTTCCGCACAAACACCTTGTCACAAGCATGTGAGCAAGCTGTATGGACCATGTGCCGGGGAAAGGACAGTTTGCCAGTTGAGCTGCAGATCAACTGGATCGGCCACCGGATACGTTCTGCCAGCATTTTTCCTTCAAGCACATGATTTCATCAACATCGCGAAGTACACTGTCGGCACATTGCTACGTCGCCCTAATCTGAAAGCCCACAATTGGCCTGGGAGGGTCTTCAAGAACATCATGTCCAGGCGGCTGACCAAACAGGCAAATGCACCGTACTCCCATCTGCTCCATGTGTTTGACAAGAATCGATCATTCTACTAGCCCAAGCCTGCCGCGAGATGCAATTCGGAGCACAGTGCGTCGAGCATGACATGTTGTCCTGTCCACGGTGAGAGATGCGACTTCAGTCCAATGAAAGCCTCGCGAAAGCAGACACGAAAGTGCAATGGAACAGTCCCCCATGACGGCCGGAAGGCTTTTGTGGCTGCGCTTGCATGTGGTGCACAAAGCTGCGTCCGAAAACATGCAGGGACAAATGCGGCAAATCAAAGGTTGCGAACCGGCGCATGTAGGTAGACAAGGCAGCGTCTCCCCAATGTTTGCGTTTCCGTCGACTTAGCTCCTGGTCTGTCGTCGACCTTTGTGTGCATTGCGTTTTGTTTGTGTTACACTAATTGTTGTTTCCTGGCTCGCCATCGGGTAATGGCCATTTCAACAATGCTGTTTTGTGGGAACGCTGCCTTTGTCTCCCACTCTGAGAAAATGACAGCCACCAGTATGCCTCCCAAACAACCCAGACCCAGGCCCACGGACGGGGCCCCTGCGGGCCCTTGCCGTAACTCCAGAGCCGCACGCCGCCGTCGGTCCGAAACCCCTGCTCTCAACTCCAGAGTTGCTTGACTCCCAAGCGACACTCCGCATTTAGGCCAGCGTAAAATACCTAGAGTTTGTGTGTTATGGGTCCGGAGCAGATGGTCCAATGAACTGCACTCACTCGTCGTTTTTGACAAACAAAACATGCCCATGACAATAATACGAACGAAGGCAACATGCACCAATTTCGTGCACTAGTTTACAAATTAGCTTATTCCACTGGGTTTTTGGGGAAGCGTCTGTAAGGTTGGGACACAGCTTTTAATAGGATGGGAGACGCAAGAATCTACTGTCTTTCCTTTCCTTGTTCCTTTCTTTAAGCATCTCGCTTCCTAAAAAGCTCTCCTCAAAAAGAAAACACTGCACGCATCCTTTTCTTCACGCTGGCGTAGAAGATCCCGGTCGGTGCTCCGGTCAGAGCGGATTCGGGCGGAGGCACCCGGGCAGAGAAAGAAGGACAGAATGCTGGTCGTGGCCACCAGCATGATGCTCTAATGAGAAGGATCACTGGCAAGAGTATTGCAGTGTACGGCAACCGTAGTTTGGCAAGAAATGCAAGGAGCCATCACATCAGGCTCTGGGACAAATGACTGCTTTGAGCCATTCGTTACAGAGACTGATGCAGGCCACAGCGAAGACAAAGTCGGTGGCACGGAAGACAGAGGTAGGCCGGCGGGGAGGAGGCGGCAAGTTGAAATTGAATGTCGAACGGACTAGCACAAGCTAGCAGATCCGCCCATCGAGCCAGCTGCCAAGCGGGCGGGCTCTCGGTCGGAACACGCTATGCCGTTGCGTGCGGGCAGCAAACACACTTGTACAAGTACATCCACGTTCACTGCCAGTACTAGTCCGTTACGAATGTTCCTAAAAAGCTCTCCTCAAAAAGAAAATACTGCACGCATCCTTCTCTTCACGCTGGCGTAGAAGATCCCGGTCGGTGCTCCGGTCAGAGCGGATTCGAGAATGAAGGACAGAATGCTGGTCGGGGCAACCAAAGTCTTTTCAGGCGGAAGTTTGACCCGGAGGGGTTTCAGGGCCAGCATTCTTCAAGCAGACGCCAGTCAATGAGAGAAGTCTTCTTCGAGTAGGTAGGTGTGAACACTCGTGGGCAGCGCCGACCATGGGACAAGGCAGCGCACGGAATCTGGGAAGCCCAGAAGAAAGAGATCATAGCCCCGGCTGAGGCTATCAGCAAGGTCATTGCGGAAGCCGGGAACATGATCAATATGAACGGAAATGTACTGGCGTTCCTGCAGTAGAAAAAAGGAACAGAGCAGCACACACATGCCTTTAGCCAGCGACGGACCTTTCCAGGACGCGCCGTCCGAGGCGGTTGTCGCAGCGGAAAGTGACATGCATTGTCGGGCGGCCTGGGGGCAATAGGCATGAAGGGCACACTGGGCACTGGTCCGAAGAGAACCAGGGGAATAGAGCACGGAGTTCAGACTGAGTGAATCTATTCTGGACTAATCAGGCAGCGGCCATCGGGTATCACCAAGACTGGCAGTTGTAGAGGATGCACAGGCGTCGGCGAACGCTTCACATTCGAACTGCGGCCACAGGATCATTGAACGAAAGTCGGTTCCCGCAACCACATGTCCATGACTTCACGGGAAGCGTCGGATATGACCCTGTCTGGGTGGGACAAATTTGAACGAAGAGGCGGCGGGAGGAAAGCGGGAACTTGGGGAGCTTAGCTTTCTTCGTGACAGCAGACTGGGCAACGCGGAAGAGGCGGGAGACTTGGGGCAGGCCAGACCTTGAGGTCATCGGAAAGTGCAGACTGGAGACGTTCCCAAGCTTGCGCAGACAGTGGTATGTGCACCAACGGAGGAGAGTACTGGACTTGGTACAGCGGTGCCAAGGAGGGGCGGAAAGCCCGGTACAAGTTAGACAGCTTCCCGGTGAGCTTTTCCAGGGTGGTAGTGGAGAGTTTGGCAGAGCGATGACACTGTAAGAGTAACTCAAGCAGTCGCCGGAGTTTGGCGGGCTCGAGGCGGACAGTGTACGTGCGGAAGTCGAACTGCCAACCAATCCAGACCACGGAGCAAGAGAGTTTGGCTTTACGCCAGCAAAACAACCAGCAGGGCAGAGAGTAATGAAGCCGACGAGCATTCAAGGATGGAGAGCAGGTCATCAACATAGATGAAGGCAGAGCGGTTGACCCACCAAAACCGGTGAACCAGGCGGACCAGGAGACCGGCAACGCGGGCCCAGTAGAAACCGGAAGCGCGTGCCCCGAAATTCAGGGTAAGGCATTGATACAAGCGACCACGATGACGGAAGATGCGCCTTGCTCACATCTAGTATGAGAGCCACAAGACGCTCTTCTGCATCGGAGAGTGTTAAACAGCGCCGGACATCCAGCAGAGTCGGATTTGATGAACGGTTGGGCAGATGCGTGACGGTGCGTGTGCGCTGTAACGCCAACCGTCTACCACGAGGCGTGGCGGGCGGGAATCCGAGAGGACAACACCGAGTTTGCCAACGGCGGTGTGTCTGTACGCGGAGCGCAGCGCGGCATCGCCACCGGGCACTTCGCTCATCCAACCTGCGGCAAGCTCTTCCTCGAGGAGCGGAGCCTGTCTAACTTGGGCTGCGCAAGGCATGTGGTTTTGGTTTCGAAGCAGAACTTCCAGCCGCACCAGATTATGTCCATGCTGAAAGAGGTCTTGGCTGGCGTCACGAGCTGCGCACGCGGACGCTAGTTTTTTTTTAAAAGCGGACGCCCCTGTACCACATCAGCGGCCCAGTGGGCAGGTCTTGGCAACGGAAGGACATCTACTTTGAGAGCCAAACTGTACGAGCCAGCGAGTGTAAAAGAAGTCGTGACTACAAAGAAGCAACCGCTAGCGCAGAGGCCCTTATTGCAAGACAACTTAACGCAAGGCCAGCGAGGTGAGACCAACGCAAACAAGAACCTACCGGCACCAATCACTCAGCTGCCCGTCACCCATAGCAATGCTGCGCCACGTCTGGTACAGACATTAAGCGAAAGTATGGGTAGGCCGTAAGGCAAGGAACCTCCGTCACCTAAACTGCTCAACGCGTCCGTAGAGACAGTCCCCACACAAGCGCCAGGGCCGTAGCAAAAGCATAGCACTCAGGACTCCTTTTTGGGTTGACAAGAAGGTTGCAAGCACACTGAAAGAAAGGTACGAACGCGCACAAAGGCACAATGCACACAGAAAGGGCGCCCCCCCCCCCCGGCGAGCGGGGGCAGGCAAGGGGCTGGTGTGGCTATACAATGCTGCCATCGGCGCTATGTGAGTCCGGGCGTCCTCACATAGCTATTAGGGGAGTACCCTATTTGGAGGCTCCTTGTGTTTGCGCCGAAAGTTTTGAGCCCGACCCCATGGCCACAGGGCGGGCCTGGAGCGCTGCTTGCAAGAGGCCACATTTTTACAGCCCCGCACAGCGGCCGATTTTTGAGACGGCACAAGAGCCGCAAAGGCTGCTGGCTGGCACTTGGCTCATGTGCTTCCGAGGTACCGGGAGCCTAAGCGCCTGGAAGCCTCCGAAGGCTGAAACACTGCTGGGCCTTCCGGGAAAGTTTTAGGCAGCAGTTAGAGAGACCTGATTGCTTCTGGGCCTTCCAGAGAAGGTTTCAGCAGTTTGCGCAAAGAACAGGCGGCGTTCAACAGCATAGCTGCGCTTTTTACAGCTACGTGCACCGCCCCCCTTGCCAGACAACCCAAACCTGCCGGATGATTGGCGCAAGTTTTTTGATAAGGCAGGACTTACACGGTAGAATGACTACACAGGTTTGCTCACGGTTTCCCCCTGCAGTGCAGGCCGCACGAGCGCGGAGCTCGGAGCAGTTTAAGGCCCCCAAGGCTGCTTAACGGTCTGCAGCCAACCGCACGTCAAATGTGAGAGTTGAGGGGCCTTATAACCTTAGAGCCCCGCGCAGCGGCCGATTTTTGTGGAGAGCACTTTAAGCAGGTTTACCCCGTGACTACACCTGATGCGGGACCCACAGCAAAGTGTTGAGGATGGGCCCCCCCCCTTTGGGCAAAGGGGGGCTTAAGCCCCCCTTTAAGCCCCCCTTTAAGCCCCCCTTAAGCCCCCCTTCAAAGGGGTCCCTGCAAAGGGGGTCCCTTCGGGGGGGGGGGGGAAAGGGTGAAAGCCCTTAAGCCCCCCCTTAAGCCCCCCTTAAGCCCCCCCTTAAGCCCCCCCTTAAGCCCCCCCTTAAGCCCCCCCTTAAGCCCCCCCTTTAAGCCCCCCCCTTAAGCCCCCCCCTTAAGCCCCCCCTTAAAGCCCCCTTTTTAAGCCCCCTTAAGCCCCCCTTAAGCCCCCCCTTTAAGCCCCCCTTTAAGCCCCCCTTGAACCCCCTTTCAGCCCCCCTTTAAGCCCCCCTTGAAGCCCCCCTTTAAAACCCCCTTAAAGCCCCCCTTTAAAGCCCCCTTAAAGCCCCCTTGAAGGCCCCCCCGTTTTAAGGGGCTTAAAGCCCCCCCTTTAAGCCCCTCTTTTTAAGCCCCCTTAAAGCCCCCCCTAAAGTTCCCCCCTGAAGCCGCAACCAAGCCCCCCCCTCTGTGGAGGGTTTAGGCAGCAGTTTAAGAGGCCTAATACTTGCTGGGCCTTTGGGCAGCAAGTTAAGAGGCGTAATACTTGCTGGGCCTTCTGCGGAGGGTTTAGGCAGCAGTTTAAGAGGCCTAATATTTGCTGGGCCTTTTTTGGAGGGTTTGGGCAGCAGTTTAAAAGGCGTAATACTTGCTGGGCCTTCTGCGGAGGGTTTAGGCAGCAGTTTAAGAGGCCTGATACTTGCTGGGCCTTTTGTGGAGGGTTTGGGCAGCAGTTTAAAAGGCGTAATGGGTTCGGGCAGCAGTTTAAGACGTCTAAGAGGCTTAATACCTGCTGGGCCTTCGGTGGATTTAGGCAGCAGTTTAAGAGGCCTAATGCGAGCATCGTGTTTGCAAATGGGGGGGGCTGCGCCCCCCCCAACCCCCCCGCTTGTTTAAGCCGGGCAAACTCGCGTGGAAGCATAGGAATCATGTCCAAAACAAAACAAAACAAAACATGGGGTTCTCGGCTTAGCCCCGCGCTACGTCACTGCTATGCAAATGGGGCGGGGGCTGCGCCCCCCCCAACCCCCCCGCTTTTTTTCTGCCGGGCAAGCTTGCGTGGAAGCATATGAATCATCTCTGAAACAAAACATGGGGTTCTCGGCTTAGCCCCGCGCCACGTCACTGCTATGAACTCTCTGCTCCTTGAAACTCAAGTAATGAACACAAAAAACAAAAGAAGAAGCGAGCGGGGTGGAATTGCTCTTAAGCTCCCCTTTAAAAGAGTCCCACTTTCTCTGGTTTCGAAGAATGAAACCCAAAAAAACAAAACAAGATTTGAGGGGGGTGGAATTTAGAACACATTCCCTTCTTTCTTTTCTTTTGTCAAAGGGAAATAAATGTTTAGAGTCTTACTTCTCCAAAAACAAAACACAAAATGTAACAAGATTCGAGGAAGGTGGAATTTAGAATACATTCCCTTCTTTCGTTTGTAAAGGGAAATGATGTTTAGAGTCTTACTTCTCTGGTTTCGAAAAATGAAATTCCAAAAAACACAAAAATATAACAAGATTCAAGGGTGGAATTTAGAATAAATTCCTTTCTCTCTCTTTTAGATTCTCACTTCTCTAGTTTCGAAAAACGAAATCCAAAAAACAAAACAAGATTTAAGAAAGGTGGAATTTAGATCTCTCATCTTCAAGATAAAGTAATGTTCAGAGTCGCCCTTAAGCCACTCTTTTTTCAGCCCCCTTAAGCCCTCCCCCTTAAGCCTTGCTAGCTCCCTTTTAAGTCCCCTTTAAGTTCCCCCCTTTAAGCCCTTTAAGCCCCTTTGACAGCCCTTGAAGCCCCCTTTAAGCTCCCTTTTTAGGCCCCCCTGCCCCCCCGTTTGAGCCCTTTAAGGCCCCCTTTAAGCCTCCCTTTAAGCCCCGAAAACAGAGCCCAAAAAGCTTCCAAAATTGTTGGCAGAAGAGAGGAGGTCTTTTTGTTGTTTTACATGCTTGGGTCCAAATTATCACCCCAAAATGGACCCAAAATTGGGACCCTCAAAAAATGGGTTCAAAACTGCTCCTGCAACCACAGCTGCAAATTCCATGGCGCTAAAGCCACTAAAGTGGTCTAGATTTGAATTTCTCAGATTTTGGCAGACCAGATTAAGTTGATGAACTTAGTTGCATTGGATTCCATGCTTGCACACAATTCACATTTTGGCTTGAATTTCAGTTTTTTCTTGTTTTGAAGATGGCACGAACTGCTGCAATGGCAGCAAGATGGTCCGGCGGGCATGTGACAATGGGAACAGCAGAACGACAGAAGAGTCCGAAACAACCCCTGTCCAAAGCCTGCTCTTAAAGCCAAGGCGAAAAGTCTCGAGTTTCCAAAAAGCGCCATCCAGAAGGCAGAGATGAAGGTGAAGTTGATCAGAGTGTTGGTGCTTCTTCAACAGATTATTTGACTCTTCATTTTCAGAACAAGGCGGAGAAAGAACTTCAAGGTTGCAAACGACCTCAAACGCATGCCAGATCAGGAGGCTTGGTTCTTGGAGTGGACAACCGAGTCATGCGGGGCTTGTTTGACCAATTCCGATCATGGCTTTCACCATTGGTGGACCAGCTCAACGACGAGTTGCGATCGGAGGGCAAGGCCAGAATGTAGAAATGGATGAGATCTGTTTCCGATCCAAAACGTTGGACAACTGTGTGCTCTGGGTGCGCTACTTCGCCTACATCATCGCGTTCGTGCCTTTCAGTGTAAGTTTTGGATGTCCGGCAGCGACATGTTTCAAGTCGTCGGCTCACTTCGAAAGAAGGAGCGTGACGACCCACGAAAAGGGCCACCTCCATGTATATCAACGCCTTTCTGCCTTCGCACTTGGCGAATACGTGCAGCCGGTTTGCCGTCGTGCTGGTCCTGCCGTCCGACCACCAATGTTTCACCCAACGCCCCGGGGAGAAAATAAGTTTGGAGGAGGTTGGTCCTTGAAACGGGATTCCGCTCGTACCAACCACCTGCGGAACAGGGTTGTAGCAACAGCCATGCGCGGGGTCAAAGCTTTGGGTGCAAGAAACCAGTCATGCCTTCAGTCAGGTCCTTGGGTTGAGTCTGATATGAACCCTGAGGCAGGAAGTCAGTCTTGTTCTATAGCAAGTTGTGACGTGGACGGTGAAGCCAGGCAGACGTAGACTGTATTCCTTTTTCTGAACCCGATTGGTGAAAGACCAATGTGTACCTTGACGTTCTGCCTGAAGGTGCGAAGTGCTTCTTAGACGGTCAGCGACCATTGATTCGTATGGCAGGCATGCCCCAGCTTCGGCGCTCCGGTTGACACAGGTCCTCGCCAGAAGCAGAAGAACACCTCTTGCGTCCTTCGCCCTTTAGGGGACGACCGGTAGTATAATACTGACATTGGCGTGCGGTGATTGGGTGGCGGGTTTCCTGCACCTGTCCTTTAATAACTTTGTAAATTGCCAAAGGGTGAATCCAGTCCTGATAAAGGGGTTTCCGCAGGGTTTCCGTTCATGTTTGTTAAGCTTCTGGAGGGTTTCCCTGGGTTTCCCTACAGTTTCGCGAGGGTTTCCGCGGGGTTTCTGAGGGTTTCCGTGGGTTTCCTTAGATTTCGTGCATGTGTTAAAACCTATTGGATGGTTTTGGTAGGTTCCTCAAGGGTTTCGTGAGGGTTTCCGTGGGATTTCGTGCAGTTTTTG